AATTAATTATATACACATGAAAGAAAAATTTTATATAAATATTTTGCAAAAATTTTTTAAAATCATATTCTAACTAGACAATTGAATAACGACAACTGCCTAGAAAAGAATTTTATCAAAACCAACAAAAGAGAAATATAAACTAGTTAATTATATATAATAAGTAAGAAACAATAATTAAAATAATTAGTAATACTAAAAACAATTATTAAAATGCCAAAGCAAGCAAATATATTTCATAGCATGATAAAACAAAGTAACGTTACAATAATAATTTTTTCAAACAAAATTTTAAATATTTTTCAAACAATTTAAAACCACTTGCTTTAAAACAAAGGCAAAATGTGACTATATGTTTAATATATTTAAAATATTATTAATATAAACAGTATATTTGATCAATATTAACTAAATCCAAGTAATATGTTATTTAACGTTATACAATTGTAATTACATATTTATATACAAGTAAATAAATGAACAAAGTTACAAATAACCTTAATACTTACTTATTTCTTAAATAATTTTTGCAGTATATGCGTGAAGATAGAGTCAACCAGAGAATATCTTTTATAGAATGGAAACTCCGCCTACCTCGATCAAAACTAAGAGAAATTACTTAAGAAAATTCATTTTTTATAACAATTTTGTCACACGTATTAAATAAGTGTGATTACACCACACCTATGCCACTTTTACGCTCTTTCATGCTCTTTCAGGGCTGCTGCATAACTTCTTTTCAACTACTTACTGTACAAGATTTTATTTAATCAGATATATAACACTTCGTTCAATAATGTGTGTGACTAACTAATTAAAACACATTTTTTTGCCAAAATTCGTTTTTATTCATCAACATAGTTAGGGAGATACAATCATTCCAACGCTTTTGCAATCTTTCGATACCGCCTTTGTAAAACGATTTTTCTTTGCCTTCAAAATAGACGTTAGTTTCGGCGATTACTTCATCATTTGAGCCAAATCTCTTACCACGAAGCATCTTTTTGAGGTCTGCGAAGAGCCAGTAGTCGCTGAGGGCCAGATCTGTAGAATACGGTGGGTGCGGCAGCAATTCGTAGCTCAATTCGTTCAATTTTGTCATCGTTTTCATCAACTTGTGACACGGTGCATTGTCTTGGTGGAACAAAACTGTTTTCTTCGTCTTTGAAACGCTCCAATAACGCTATATAATAGTCGCTGTTGATGGTCTTCCCCTTCTGGAGATAGTCGATGAATATTATTCCATGCGCATCCCAAAATACAGACGTCATAACCTTGACAGCCAACTGCTGCGTCTTTGGTCGCTTTGGGCGGCTTTCACCGGCTGCATGCCACTCAGCGGACTGCCGATTTGACTCTGGAGTGAAATGGTGAATCCATGTTTCATCCATCCTGATGTACCGACTCAAAAACTCCGACTTTTTGCGCGTAAACATGTCCAAACAGCTCTTTGAATCATCATCGGTGTGAGCAAACGCCTAAATCCAAACAAAATATTGCAAAAACAAAGCAAGACCTAAACAATAAGATAAACCCGGAAAATTTGAAAATCGCTAATATCTACGAAAGAAAGAACGGCATCATTGTTATAGAGGCAGAAAGTGATTCCGAGCGTGCAAAAATAAAATCTAGAAGGCGCTATGAGCGAGAATTATGAAGTAAAAGTCCCAAACTCTATTAATCCACGATTTACTATCTCTAGAATCAGTTTTAAATATAACGAACAGGAACATATCGAAAAATTGCGAAAACAAAATCAGTGCCTCTCTGATTGTGAACTAAAACTAGCAAAACTTTATGAAATAAAACGAGAGAGTAAAATATTCTACAACGCAATATTTGAAACGGACTCGAATACTTTTACAAAAGCTATGGAAGCAGAAAAGCTAAACATTGGCTGGGAAAAGTGTAAAATTGACGATGGAACGGATTTAATGATATGTTACAAGTGCCAGGGCTTCAAACATAGAGCGCCTTATTGCAGGTTCGACGAATGTTACCGTTAATACCATCAAAGACATCGTACTCGCGATTGCAATGAGGAGCCGGTTAATAAATGAATAAATTGTATACGTGCAAATAAGAAGCTAGGCTTGGGCCTTGACGAAAATCATGCAGTGCTTGACAAAAACTGTCCCGTGTATCTCAAAACACTTGAACAGAAGAAAAAGAAAATCGGATACTAGCAGTAGCACTACAAGAAACAATTAAGCAAATGGAAAAGTCCAAAGTTGATGTGCTAGCGGTTCAAGAAGTACGATGGCAAGGATGTGGTGAAATTGAATGCAATGATACAAAATTCCGTTTTAGTGGTGACGCTGAAAGGTCTGGTAGGTCTGGGACTGGTTTTCTGCTTAACAAGCGAGTGGAAAAATCGTTTTTGGGCTTCAGATCAATAAATGACAGAATATGTGTAATCTCCCTTAAAGGAATGTTTAGCAAATTTACACTGATAAATGCCTATGCTCCAACAGAAGATGCAGATGATATCGCTAAAGAGACCTTTTATGCAGACTTTGACGAGACAAGCACGAATCAACATGTGTAAAGACAAAGATGGGGAACTACTAGTAGAAAAAGAGGGCATTATCAAAAGATGACAGGAACATTTTCAAGAACTTTTCTACATTGGTTCGGAAAGTAATAACCTATCCTAAACAGACTTAGCTTCAAGTACAGAACAAGAACCTGAATCCACTCTTGACGAATTTACAGACGCAATAAAGCAAATGAAAAACGGAAAATCACCTGGTGAAGATAGTATATCAGCAGAGCTCATTAAACATTGCGGAGAAAGCTCAAAAATGGAGCTGTTTACATTAATCAAGCGTGTCTGGGCTGAAGAAAGTCTGCTGGAAGCGTGGCTCACTAGCGTAGTAGTACCACTGCACAAGGAAGGTGACAAACTAGATTGTAATAACTACCGAGGCATAACGTTGTTAAGCACATGTTACAAAATTTTTACATGCATTTTAAACAAGCGACTAAAGAATGCAGCGGAGGAAATATTAGGTGAATACCAAGGGGGCTTCAGACCGAATCGTTCAACGACCGATCAAATATTCCTGCTTAAACATAACCTGGAAATGAGTTTTGAGTTCAATGCATTAGTGCATATGCTTTTCATCGACTTCAATCAAGCATTTGACAGCATTGATAGAAAAATGATACAGAAAGCTTTACAGTCACTCGGGATCAATCAGAAGCTCATAAAACTAATAATGATTACACTGTGCAATACGACTGGAAAAGTGATAGTGCAAGACAGTCTAACAGATGCCTTCGAATTTAAAAGTGGAGTGAAGCAAGGTGACTCTCTTTCAACTACCATTTTCAACCTAGTCCTTCACGATGCTATTAAGTCACTGGTAGCAACAGGGAACATATTCAACAAAACATCACCGACCATTGCCTACGCAGATGACATAGCTATCTTAAGCAGATCACTTTACTATATGAAAGAAAAGTTCGTCGACTTACAACTCAGAGCTAAGATAGTTGGGCTAAACATTAATGAGAACAAAACAAAATATATGAGGATTGGAAGAAACATGCACATCTGAGTTTTAGAGCCTCTTCAAGTTGGTGAGTTCACGTTTGAAGAAGTTGAAAGCACCAAATACTTAGGTGTCCTTATTAATAAAAACAATGAAATCAGTGTTAGTATACAAGACAGAATTGTAGTAGCAAACAGAAGTTATTACGGACACGCGAAAATCTTCAAATCTAAAATCGTGACCAGAAGTGGCAATCGTCCGCCCGGTATTATGCTACGGGGCCGAAACGAGGACTCTAACGATAGCAGATGAAAACCAAATTAGAACATTCGAAAGAAAGGTGCTGAGAAAGATTTATGGTCCCATTCGCCTGAATCAAGAAGAATTTCGTCGGCGTACGAATGCTAAGCTACTACAACTTTGTGATGGTGAAGATGTGGTGAAGTTCGCAAAGTCACAACGCTTAAGATGGTTAGGACACGTCATGAGAATGCCGGACGATAGACCACAAATGCGAATACTCCATTTCACGCCGTATAATGACCGCAGCAGAGGTAGATCACATATAAGGTAATTGATCACTGTAATTTGTAAACAAATGGTCGGATTAACATATGATTTTGACAGTAAGCCTAAAAAGGTTGTCACTTTCGAAAAAAAATATATATTTAGTATTTGTGCCGCCATCTATGTGTCAGTCACATACATAATTGAACGAAGTATTAAATATTCATAAATGAATATAAGCATACATTACATATACTTTGAATATTATTAAATTAAATGGATTTATTTACAATAACATATAATTATGCAAAAAGTTTTTTTGATTGTAATTGAGTATGTTACACAATTATTTATACAATTTTCTTAGCTATTTATATATTTTTGATGTGCGGAAAATAGTTCAGAAGGGTTTCATATAAAAGTTGAAAGCAATTAAAATCTATTTTAGCTTGAAATCGAAAAAATATCTTTTGAAATTGAATTCAGTATAATATCATGGTTATAATGTTTTTCATTTAAATATCTTTTTGGAGTTTAAATATTTGTAAATTGGGTATATTATATAATGAAATTTAAGGTTATATGACATTAATATATACACTTTATATACTAATGCATGCAGCATTAAATTCACATATCTATGCAAATAAATTGTATACAGAAAAATAGAAATCATTAATTTTTATAATAGTAATTCAGTGTTAGACATATCAAAAGTCATATTATAATTTATTTTACTTATTTTCAGAAATAAATAACTGAGTATATAGCATTGTTCACTTCAAGAAATATAATATTCCAAAATTTATTTAATATATATTGGTTTTCGTTAGAAATTGTAGAAAATTATTTCGAAATTATATAAATTTTTAAACAAACGCAATAAATACTAATTTTATTGCTTGCACGGTCACTCCATTGTGGTGAATGCATTTTTAAAGTAGAGCATTGACTAAGAAATTTTCATTCTTATTAATTCGTAAACCGAATTTTGTAGACAGTACCGAATAGATAGTTGATGCGTGAGGGTGCGCACGCACGTCAACGAGCGTTGTTCAATTTCTGCCTACAAAATTTCATTTTATGATTTCGTAAAACGAATTTTGTAGTCAGTACCGAATATATCGTTGTTGCGCAGGGCTGTGCGCGCACATCGTTAATTTTTGTGGTGAGTATTATTAATAAACATATTGAGGTAATTAATTAAATGTTATATTTTTTTTTATTTTATGTATTATTAGTTTTGGGGAAATTTTCTTAATACTTATACCAAAAGTTGTGTTGTAAATTAATTACTTCTAACTTTTTTGATGTTTTTAAAAAATTTATTTTTGAAAACATTCCAATATTCTTTTATAGCAAATAAATTCAAACAACATGAAATAAAATATATTAGTATTCTTTTTTTAGAGACACATCTAAGTTTCGTATAACTCATATAAAATTTTTTCGTTATCTTTTATGTATTTAAAAAATATACAGTTAACTCATTTATTTATATATAAATTTAATTTTTATTATAAAATACACTTGATACAATTCATACAATACTCAAACGGTTATAGTTAGATAAATAAGAAAATATAGAATAAACATGTTTATAATAAACATAAATATTAAAAATGTAGCATTTTAAAATACTTAAATACAGTAGTTGTAAAACATAAAACAACGATACTGATGGTATTTCTTATTATTATTTGCACAGTACTGAATATTAATACACGAATACGAAAATATACTAACACAATGCCACGCCATCTACAAAACATTAATTTATTAATTATATACACTAGTATTTTTAAATCATAATTGTTATTATTTACTTACTTTATTATTATTTGAAAAAAATTTATAATTAAATCACTTTGATAATTTTTTGCTTTATACTTTTTCTAATATTGGGCGCAAATTAGTTTTACTACTTTTTAACAATCATTTGCGCGGTAATTGTTTTTTAAATATAGCGCAGTGCAATCAAATTTTTTGTCAAGAAATCAAAACAGAGAACCAAAATTATGCGCCCTGTTGCACTCATTGCTCATAAAATTTTTCTTATGAGTAACTTATGTAGTGATGTGTCGAACGTGTTGATAAATGGCTAAATGTGTGCAGTGCAAAAAATCCCAAAAAATCTCCCATTTGGTTTAGCATCAACTTAGCCTGACTCGCACACGTCCTAAGCCTAACTTGCACACGACCTATATATCAATGGTCGTAGAAAAAATTCTAGTTTTTTATTTAAATAATATCTTGAATACAGCAAGTTTAATAAAAATTTGACGCTAACTATTTTGACAGTAAATTTCCTAAATATGTATATCAAATAATACTATTGGCAGTGCAGACCCAAGTTAATTTATTTTTAAATTAATTTTATCAAATTTTTTAATCAAACAAGGTATGTAATATTATATATGTAAATTATTTCATTCGAGTTCGGTTATGTGTTTTAAAAAAGATATATTTATTAATGGGTAGAATTCGCTTCTAACCCTCTTAAAACCGTACAAAAGAATGAAAACTTAAAACTAACTTAAAACTAAAAATGAAAACTTCAATGTTCTGCTCGGGCGCCAATTATTTCATTCGTGTTCGGTTATATGTTTTAAAAAAGATATATTTATTAATGGGTAGAATTCGTTTCTAACCCTCTTAAAACCGTACAAAAGAATGAAAACTTAAAACTAACTTAAAACTAAAAATGAAAACTTCAACGTTCTACATATTACAATATTTACTTTAAAACGCTTAGCCGACAAAATCCAACAAAGTGAGCGATGCTCTTGCTTTTATATTCAAATGATCTGAGCTTACAAATAAAGCTTTTTACTCAAAGCTTGCTCAGATCGTAATTTAAATTCTACTTGTTCTCTATATTTTCTCTTACAAAATAACTTTCTGTTTTATACTTAACCCTACAAAGTGGGAGCATGCGATAACACCCCTCTTTCTTAAAGAGAAACGTCCCGTTTCTTTAGATGAGATAAAGTAGCTGCTCTTATGCGGTGGCTGTCTATTGTTTTTTCCTTTTTGAAGTTGCTTGCTGATTTATTTGGTGGTTGATTTTTGCAATGGTTTCATCGGGTTGTTTACGTTTGTGTGTTTTGAAGAATTTTGTTTACGTCTAGGTTTTGAAAAATTTGTTTACGTCTGGACTGTTTTATGTGTCTGCTCAGTTTATGACTGTCGTGCACGATGATGATGATTGTTTCCAAGAGTGTTGCTGCTGAGGTAATAAAGCGTTGCGTTGATCTTGAAATTATGTTTCGGTTTTTCAAGTTTAAATTCTTCATTATGATTTACAATATATTTTATTATCTTAAAATTTTGGATGGTTCATCTTTACATGATTATTAATTACAATTGTTTTTCGTTTAATTTAGATATGTAATATGTATTACTATTAAATCTGAGTTTTGTAAAATTTTGAATCATTTTTTCATACTGAATAGAGCTTTAAATATTAATGAGTTGGTAACTACTAAAACTTAATTAGTAGTTACAATCATTTGTTTTTTAAAATGTTTAGTAAGCTTATAAT